ACACAATAAAAAAAAAAAAATACATTAAAAAAATTTATTATACATACATACATACATACATACATACATGCATAAAATAAATTTAAGAATATATTTATATTTACGTGTTTAACAGTGGTGTACATTTACTAAATAAATTACTAAACTAAAACACTACTAAATAAATTATTAGTAGTTTAAAAAGGGATGGTTTTCCTGTTCCTTATTCTTTTGTTTTTGTGTCTTTTAACAGGATCCAGGCCAAGATTCCCGGAGCAAAGCCAAAGACAGAGTGAAGAAAGTTAGCTAGTGTGTTATTTCCGTGCACGAGAAGTGATGGTGGAACAAGAGAAGACAGACAGAATCGTGTTGTGTTTGGACAAAGGCCTTAGACGATGCAATGTAAACTTTACCCCCCTCCCCTCCCCTCCCCCCAGTGTTTGAGTTGTTAGCGTAGCTGAGAGAATGAAACCTTTTTAAACCTCTTATCAGTTTCTCTCACAAGCAGAGTCATCTCTTTCACAGTAGATCTAGTTCTCCATGTTTTGAAGTAAACGCAGCTACCTAACACCATTACAGAATGTAGTCCGAGGAACTGATGTTGGCAAAGGCAGCAATCGATGAGGATTTTTCGTTTGCTATTCAGTCCGTGAAGCGTTCACCTCGTTTGAAGGCCATTTGTATTAATTTCAGTATGATAAAGGGAGTGAAATCTTTTGGTTACGAAGTTCCTTCACAATAAGTCTTTTGTTTTTAGCTCTTTTTTTTTCCCTTTTCTTTTTTCCTTTTTCATTTGTACATTGGCGTGCTTGAACACAGTGGTGTTGTGGTGTAACTGTGTTAAAGTTGATGCAGTTGTGTTGGAGGTGAAGATGCTTCTAGTCTTCTGTAGCAGAGTTTAAGAGAAGTTTTATTTCGCACTTGCCTTCAAAGGGATCTGTTATGGCATATTTCACCCAACTATTCATTGTTTTTAGCAGTTTAGTGAACAAAAAAAAAGGGGCAAACTAGCATGTATGCTGTGCTGGCCTATCACCTTCCTGTCATGTCAAAATCAACATCATGTTTGCAGAATTTGCCGTCTCCATCGTGGATCGAATACCTGAAACGGCACACGCTCTTAATAAAAACTCACAAACTTCAAGCACCGTTTCTTCATGCAGGTCATTTGTAAATGATAATTCAGTTTTGATGAAAATATGCTGAAGACTGTCTGTGAAATGCATTGTGAAAAATAAGCCAATAAAATACCAATAAAGCTTGTAGACAAACTATTTGGTTTTGTGCCTGATTTGAAGCTTTGTTTGTGATGTACAGTGCAGTTTGTCACATGTACTTTGGTGCCATCCAGTGGTGCTGTATGGAAGTGTGGTATTTGCTCTGGTTGTCATTTTGGCAATGTCTTATTTCCAAGAATTTTGATATTTCAAATCTCAGATATACTGTAAGTGACACTGACCTCGTACAGTCTGCATTGTATGAGACATTTACATTATGCTGTTTATTAATGTGAAAAACCAAGCTGGTTATTCTGGGATCAAAAATCAGCATTTTTCTACCGTTCTAGTATAGTGCAACAGTCAAGTCTCTAAGTGAAAATCACAATGATTTGCGCACTTATTTCGTCTTGGTCAACTAATGATCATTGTATGGAGACGCTTTCAGAACCTGCAGGGGGAAAATAATGCTTGTTTATTTTAAAATGTATATGTGTGTGTGTGTGTGTGTGTGTGTGTGTGTATGTATAAAAAAAAATGCTTGTTTATTTTAAAATGTATATATATGTGTGTATATATATATATATATATATTTGCACGTTAAATATATTAAATTTTAGCCATGTCAATGCATTTAAAAAAAAAAGGTAATTAAATATAGAAGTACAAAAACAGAATTGCTTGGTTTAGTTGAATTAAAACAATTCTCTCGCACAAATGAAGATTTTTTTTTTGTACCGAAACCTTTTTATTTGCATTTATTTGATCAAAAATGCAATATATAAAATACAAAATTGTTTATTCCTGTAATAACAAAACAGAATTTTCAGCATCATCACTCCAGTCTTCAGTGTCTCGCAATTCTTCAGAAATCATTTTAATATGCTGATAATTTTTCTTATTATCAAGGTAGAAAAAACGTTGTGCTGCTACATTATTTTTGTGGAAATTGCTAAACGTTTTTTTCAGGAATATTTGATCAATAGAAAGTAAAAAAAAAAGTTTTTGAAAATTGTAAAATTATGAATAGCTTTACTATTACTTATGATCAGTTTAATATGCCTTTGCTGCATAGTATGTTTTTTTTTTATTTAGAAAAAATCTAAATGACCCCAAACTGTAACCGTAGTATTTTTGTGTCTCACACAAGCATTTGATGTGTTTAAAATAACCTTTTTGTAATGATTTTATGGTATGGTTCTATAAAAATAAGCTAAAAAAAATAATTTTGTGTAATACTTAAAATAGAATTAATTTTTACCAATTTCTACCTGTTCATTTAAACGGCAAGATATAATGCGACAACCAGTTTAAGCACTGATAAACAGCATAGGCCTTTTTTAAAAAATAGTTCCCATTTTCTAACTCTAAAAAAAATCATGTTCTTAAACTGCCTTTAACTCACTGAACTCAGATCAGTCTTCCTCTGGCCTTCACGTCTCCATTGCTTTGTGTGCGTAAGAGAGAGAGTGATAAAGTATTGTCCATGTTGTGCTGCGATTCATTTGAATGAAGATTAGGTCGTCCTGTTGTGCTGGAAAGATCATTAGGGACAGGTGCGCATGCAGCCAAACAGATTACCAGACTGCCTTTCTGAAATGAACTTTCTATTGATTGCTGGGCTTTTTTTAGGGAGCAGGAGAGGAGAGGTAAGCCTTGTTTTTCTCTCGTCTCGGCTGAGCACAGATGCTTCCGTGCTGGGAAGATAATTTGCTGCATGAAGGGACACTTTCCTCTCATTGGCACGCGCCTCATGCATACTCTTCATTCCATTCGCATTACGACTGCTATTTACTCAGGGATAAATTAGAAAGTTACATCAAATGAAAAATACCAGGGGGGCTAAAGGAGTACATTCATATGGCACTAATAAAAATGGGACATAATCTTGTATTTTGACTTTTCTAGTGTTTTCCTGAGATGTTTTTATGACCTGAGGCAAGAAAAAAGAAGGAAATAACTCAAAAGAAAGACAAAAATAGGATGCAAGAAATGTGCTGTCAAAGTTGATAGAGAATTGTCAAAATGATGGTGAATAATTTTTCCATAGTGCTTTTCCAAATACGTGACCTTACGGACCCCTCTTTTCCTGAGATGTTTTTATGACCTGAGGCAAGAAAAAAGAAGGAAATAACTCAAAAGAAAGACAAAAATAGGATGCAAGAAATGTGCTGTCAAAGTTGATAGAGAATTGTCAAAATGATGGTGAATAATTTTTCCATAGTGCTTTTCCAAATACGTGACCTTACGGACCCCTTGTATGTGCCCCTGTCAGAGCCAGTTAGTGTCTCTCCAAATATGATAAAACGAATACAGACAGCAGCCAATCCACTCTGCATCCCCTCAAAAAACATGCAAACACACTCTCACTGTGTATAACTGCGAAACAGTTGTTTTTACACAAGCACTTAAAGGGTTAGTTCACCCAAAAATGAAAATTCTGTTATTAATGACTCACCCTCGTGTTGTTCCAAACCCGTAAGACCTTCATTCATCTTCGGAACACAATTTAAGATAGTTTTGATAAATATAAGGGCTATCTGACCCTCACATAGACAGCAAGGTAACTACCACGTTCAAGGTCCAGAAAAGTACCAAGACACTGCCACATGCTCGCGTCATGGTACTGTCGTGAGCGTGCATCCAAAGTGACGCAGTAGAGACGAAAATGTGGAATAAAGTCATTATTTTTGTTTTCTTTGCGCAAAAAAGCATTCTCGTAGCTTCGTAATTTTACAGTTGAACCACTGATGTCACATGGACTACTTTATCGATCATCTTGGTACTTTTCTGGACCTTGAACGTGGTAGTTACCTTGCTGTCTATGGGAGGGTCAGAGAGTCCTCAGATTTCATCAAAAATATCTTAAATTGTGTTCCGAAGATGAACGAATGTCTTACGGGTTTGGAACAACATGAGGGTGAGTAATTAACGACTGAATTTTCATTTTTGGGTGAACTAACCCTTTAAG